CCAGAAAAATCTTGATGTGATCTATTCCCTATCTTCAAGCACTAGTGTCAGGTTAAAAGAGGATTATTTCACAGTTTAAACTACTAAAATATCTTCAGGAATAACAATAGTCAGTCAGACGGTGAACCAACCACAGAGTCTCCAGTCTACAGTTCGGACTCTCCAGGGCAGTAGTTATTTGCATCACTCCAGAATCCTTCAGGTCGTTTCTACTCAGGTCCAGTTCAATCAAATGGGAGGGATTGGACTTCAGAGCTGAGGCCACGACTTCACAGTGAGTCTCTGACAGTCCACAACCAGAAAGTCTGTAATGACACATTGAAAACATATTATAAAGATGACACTTTACTGACAGTTTAAAATTTTTCTGTTCACAAGAGTGCATCAGTTGATCTGATATGAAACAATTTTCCTCCATCTCTCTGAGACCTGCACACCTTTAATTTTGCTGTAATCTGCAGGTGTTGGAGAGCAAATAGAGTCAGGCTTCCATACTTGTTAAAGTATGCCAGTGTGACCTGATTCTATATATAACTCCACAAAATTAAAATGAGGGCATCTTGATCAGAAAAGAGTGAACATAATCATAAACTTTCAGGTCCACATCTGCTTGGAGATCAACTGTTTGCATCTGGAAAGGCCCAATGTTCACTCATTGCTCTATTTTTACTGTCCACTTTTCTTTTTTCTTTTTTTACACGGCACTGTTTGTAAGGAGAAACGACAGTCCATCATTACTTTAAGATCTGAAGGTCAGCCAGTCCAGAAAACTGCTAAAACTTTGAATGTCTTCCCAAGAGCAGTTGCAAATACCCTCAAGAGCTGCAAGAAAGCTGTCTCACATGAGGACCGCCCCAGGAAAAGAAGACCAAGAGTCACCTCTGCTGCTAAGGATAAATTCATTCAAGTCATTTTCAAGTTAACAGCAACTCAGATTAGAGCCCAGATAAATGCCACACAGAGTTCCAGTAGCAGATACATCTCTACATCAATTGCTCAGAGGAGACCGTTAGGGTTAGAGAGCATACAGTTTATCTCAAGCTAAATTGAGATTGTGTGTTGTCATCTTCAGGATCTATGAGAATAAATTAACAAAGGTTTTATCATCCCAGTAAATGTTGGCTAAGATCAGTCAATAGAGAGAGTCCATAAAGTTGACCAACCACAATAACATAACAACCCATAGGATCAGATAAAGTGCTTGATACAACAGAAAGGACATTTTTACTAATAAGGATGGCCACCCTCTCATCTTAGACTTAAAAATGCAATGAAATGTTTGGCCAACCCAACCAGTCTTCAATCTATGTTGGTCTGCTATATGAAGGTTAGTCTCCTGCAGAAAAAAGGATGTCAGTCTTATGCTTGCATAAGCACCTTTATACTCTTAACAGGGTGGTTCATAAAAAGTTCCAACTTACAAAGTTGGCTACATAACCAGTAAGCTTTGCATCTTTATTGACAGCAGCCATAGAGTTATCTAATCAGAGAACAACAGTATATGCACCCCAGGCAGGACTCGGAGAAAAGTCCGCCATGGGGAAACTGGTGATCCTGAAACCCCACATGAACAAAACCACACACTGAAATGCTGGCATTGGGGAAACAATAGCAACCGCCTGGCTATAAACTCAAAATGGAATAACATAGCACATTGTTAAATATCTTAAGTAGTTCAATAGTCATTTATCCAGCCTTGACAAGGCGTAGCACTAATAAAGTAATTAAACTGTCCAGCAGACATGTCTTGCGAAGCCTCATCATCAGGGACCGACTCCAAACAAAAGTAAGTCAGGAGGGCAACTTCACCCAACAGTTTCGCTTGGTAAGACTGTTTTTCACATATAACACTGCCTTCTCCGGATCCAGAAACTCTCTACTCTCCCCTCAAAGATATACAGAGTCTGGCTAGAAACAATTTTCCATACCGGACATCTTGGCGCCCTCGAAGCAGATTCCTCACATTGTTAAAAGTGGAGCAAGCTTTGGCAATGCACGCGGTGTAATCAGAGAAGATGGCCACGAGGTTTCCCTGGTAGTAATGGAGTTTAGCAATGATAAGTCAAGGTTTCCTTCAAGGTCTTCTTAGAGCACGGCCTCTATGTGAGTGGTCCACCAGAATTTCTTTGTCCAGTTGCAGAACTTCCTTCAGTAGACTGGAAACTGAATTGATCAAGCTGAAACCAGGGTCCTCCACAATATCCACAATGTGAACATTGCATGTCCGCATTCTTACGTGCCTTTGCTTCAGCTGCACCCAACCTTTGGAATAGCCTTTCTGCTTCTATTTGAGCCTTAGACTCTATCCAGTCCTTTAAATCAAGATTAAAAGCATATCTATTTGACTTGGCTTTCCCGACCAGTTAATACCCTTTTAAATCTTTTAAATTTTAAACTTTTAAATCTTTTATTAGATTTTATTAAATGTATTATTTTTATTAATTTTACTGCTGTTTTTGTCTTCGTAGCATATTTTGTATTTATCTAACTCTCCTGGTCTGTTAGTGCCTCTATCCTGTCTGTGCTTGTGCCCGATTTGTACCCTGTTTTTGACTTATGTTGACTCTCCATATTACTGTGAAGCACTTTGGTGTGCCTTCGGGTTTTAAATGTGCTATATAAATAAAATTGTATTGTATTGTATTGTACTTTTCAATTCTGACCTGATAATCGTGAAGATGTATTCTTTCAGAGAGGAAAGAATGTCTGGTATATATACATTTGCAGAGTTTAGATGCCACTGGGGTTGCAGTCACTGGTCCGTTTTGTTTCGTCGGTCACAGGTGTAATGGAGAGTGACAATTGGTTTAAATATACTTTTGAAAAGCGCTTACAATTATTGAAATATAAACTAGCTAGGCGGGAGCACAGTCCAAACCAACTTGCATAAAATATTTTTTGAGTTATTTTGCAATTTTTGTCAAATACAAAATTCTATATGTGTTCATTTATAGTTTTGATGGCTTCAGTGAGAATCTACAATCTAAATAGTCATGAAAATAAAGAAAGACGATTAGATGAGAAGGTGTGTCCAAACCTTGGTAGTGTTCATCTGGACTTACCGAGCCCTTCTGCAGTTCCTCACAGCTGGAATTAGTCTAAGTTGTCCCACCAGTGATGTGTTGTACTTCTCCAGGTCCAGCTCATCCAGAACTTCTGCTGACATCTGCAGCATGTAGGCCAGTGCTGAGCAGTGAATCTCAGATAGTCTCTCTGATCTGTTCTTTGACTTCAGGAACTCACTGATCTCTTGATGAACTAAGAAGTCGTTCATTTCCATCAAACAATGAAAGATGTTGATGCTTCTGTCAGGAGAAATACATTTAACATTCATCATCTTCAGATTGTTGATAATGGCCTGGGTAATTTTTGAACGGTTCTCCGTCTGGCCCAGCAAGCCTTGTAACAGTCTCTGGTTGGACTCCAGAGAGAGGCCATGAAGGAAGCAAACAAACAGGTCAAGGTGACCATTTTTACTTTGAAGAGATTTCTGCATGACCGCTTTCAGAAAAACAGAGAGAGATGAGATGTCGCCATAATAACAATGATCACTTTTCAGGAAGTCATCCAGCACCTCTTCCTTCCTGTTGGTGAAACAGTGGAACATGTAGAATGCAGCCAGAAACTCCTGAATGCTCAGATGAACAAAGCAGTAGACTGGTTTCTTGAAGATCACACACTCTCTTTTGAAGATCTCTGTACAAACTCCTGAGTACACCGAGGCCTCTGTGACATCCAGACCACACTGCTCCAGGTCTTCTTGGTAGAACATGATGTTTCCTTTTTCCAGATGTTCAAACGCCAGCCTCCCCAGCTTCAGAAGAACTTCCCTGTCAGCCTCTGTCAGCTCCTGTGAACTCGTCTCATGTCCCTCATGGTACTTGTTCTTCTTCCTCTTGTCTGAACCAGCAGGAAGTGTGAGTACATGTCAGTCAGGGTCTTGGGCAGCTCTCCTCTCTGCTCTGTAGTCAACATGTGCTCCAGAACTGTAGCAGTGATCCAGCAGAAGACTGGGATTCTACACATGATGTGGAGGCTCCTGGATGTCTTCATGTGGGAGATGATTCTGCTGGACAGCTCTTCATCACTGAATCTCCTCCTGAAGTACTCCTCCTTCTGGACGTCAGTGAAGCCTTGCACTTCTGTTACCCTGTCAACACATGTAAGAGGGATCTGATTTGCTGCTACAGGTCGGGAAGTTATCCAGATGAGAGCCGAGGGAAGCAGATTCCCCTGGATGAGGTTTGTCAGCAGCTGGCTGACTGATGACTTCTGTGTGACATCAGACAGCAGCTTCCTGTTGGTGAAATCCAATGAAAGTCTGCTTTCATCCAGGCCGTCAAAGATGAACAAAAGCTGAGAGACAGCCAGCTTCTCTGCTGAGACCTTCTCTAATGTTGGATGGAAAACATGGAGCAGCTCCAGAAGACTGTACTGCTCATCTCTGATCAGGTTCAGCTTCCTGAATGAAAGCAGAACCACCACACTGACATGTTGGTTCTCCAAGCCCTCTGCCCAGTCCAGAGTGAACTTCTGCACTGAGAAGGTTTTTCCAACACCAGCCACGCCGTTGGTCAGAACCACTCTTATGGGTCTCTGTTGGTCAGGTAAGGCTTTAAAGATGTCCTGGCACCTGATTGGAGCGTCATGGAGGGCGTCCATCTTGGAAGCTGTCTCCAGCTGCCTCACCTCATGTTGGGTATGAACCTCTTCACTCTGTCCCTCTGTGATGTAGAGCTCAGTGTAGATCCTGTTGAGGAGGGTTCTACTTCCTGTTTCATCACTTCCTTCAGTCACACGTTCACATCTCCTCCTCAGACTGATCTTATGTTCATCTAAAACCTCCTGCAGACCAACATCTGCTGAAAGAAAGAAAAACATTGAGACTAAAGAGAAAGAAAACATAAGTGTTGAAACAACATAAGAAGTCCAGTTTGATGAGTCCATCAGCAGACATATGTTCAGTCTTACTTTGAACACAGCTGCTCTGACTGGCTGTCTGCAGTCCAGCTCTGGTTCTACACACTGGGGATCTTTCTTGACACTGGAGACAGGAGGAGTCTCCTGATTTAGGAGACTGGTCGCAGTATGTGGAAGTGTGCTGCCTACAGAACCTGTGTCCATGGGTGGTAGAGAAAAAATGATTCTGATCAGTAAAAAGCTCTAAAGTCATAGATACAAAAGTTAAATGCTAGTACAGACTTACAGTAAAATATAAACATGTTTCTGTGGTACTGAGGTTCTGAGGTGTCTGTAGATTCTCCTTCAGCATCTTTTCATTTCTGATCTTCTTAGAGCTCCAGCAGGCAAATTTACTTAATTTCATTTTACAGAAATAATTTTTGTACCAAATACAGAAATAACAGAATCTGGGCATGTAAGCAAATAGATTACTGCCTACTTGACAGGCCGCAGTATGTAAGATTGGGCTGTGCTAACTGGTGCCGTGTGGTGTCTCCACTGCCATTCACCTTGTACACCTTGTGTGTAATTTATGGTAGTGCAATTGTGTGCATAAATTGTTTGCTGCTGATACTTTTTCATTATTTTTGAAACAATCAGACTTCAGCTTTTTGTATGACTTTGCTGTTCTCAACCGCTGGCTGAAGGACAAGCACAAGCATAAATAGCCCATGGACTGTTAGTGCCACATACTTTGTACAGTCACTTCATCTGATAATAGATGGTTTCTTGCAGGTAAACATCCACAGACTGCCAGTGGACTGCCAATGCCTACTCTGGCTAAACCATAGAGAAGGAGACAAGAGGCTAAGATCAAGGTAGCATGGAGGGAGGTAAGCCAACTGTCGGAGCTGCAGAAAGGTGCGACAAAGAAGGTGCCTAAGAAGTATAGCAAGCTGGCCATACCTGAGGCCTTGGAAACTGCCAAGCAATAACTCACAGCCTTGGCCAGCTGCTTGAAGAGATACACCAGAAGGCAGGAGAATAAACCAGCTGTTCTCCACAGAACAATCCAAGGTGTACTCTCAGTGTCAGGGGAACAATATGAGAACAGGACCACCAAGGCTGGAGACGGAGCAATACTGGAAGAGCATATGTCTGTCACCGTAATGCTTATTTACTGATTATATTGTTTTATGTATTTTAATAAGAAGACTCTGAGTAGAGTCTGAGCCAAAAGTACTGACAGGAAACTGCATGCTTTTGCAGAGCACAGGAGGTGTAGACAGAACGTGAAACTAAGCAGACTGTTTTGATCAAAACTTAGTGTGGGTGTGACGTGCAGCGGAAATATACTTATAACTATGCTGGCTGCTACTGCTTTCAGACCTGAGCGTGTGTTTGTGTGTTCAGGTCTCCGTTCCCGGGAATGTAAATAAAGATAATTTTTGGAGTTTTGACAACTCTGAGCCCAGTCTTTTTTCAGCCGCCAAAAAATTGCAAAGAACGACATTTAATACTGACCAGGGCTCAAACTTTCAATCTAAGTAGAGCTGGGAGATATGAGATTTTTTCATATCACGATATGTTTTTTTCATTTCAGGCGATAACGATATCTATCACGATATAAGCCAAATAACTATATTTGTAAGATTTAAATGTGCCGTTGCTCACAAGTAAAATGTGAAATAATCAGCAGCTTGTTTTTATTTAAATATTTATTTCCCATAATAAGTTCAACAGGGTAGATGTACTTAAGGAACATGAGACTTTTTCAGATAAATAAAGGCAAATATTGCAAACTACACAAAAGGCAGCCGCTAAAGCGTTTAAGTTTCAAAATAGAACAAACGAAACAGACTAAACTGTCAATTCCACTTAGAAACAAAATATTAATTCTAAAAATAAATCTTAGTTTGTTTTACAGAAGAACAGACAAAACTGACTAACTTTTGTCAATATCAAATAAACTGAGAACTAAAAGGAAATTCTCAATCTCTCCTTGTTGTATAGCTGAGCTTTTCAAACAGTTTTAACAGTTACTTTAGTCTGACAAAAGCCGAATGACGAATTAGCGCTTCCAGTCAGAGACTGAGGCTACGTCCACACGTACACGGGTATTTTTGAAAACAGAGATTTCCGTTTTTGTTTTAAAAAATAATCCCGTCCACACATAAAGGCAGAAATGAAGGAAAACGCTGCTATGAACATGCCAAAGCAGCAGGTGGCGCTAGATTCCTAACCGTGCAGAAATGTTGGCCAATCAGAAGTCTAGAAGCCTCGGTGGGAAAAAGTAAACAAAGCTGGGGCATAGAAGCAGAACCGAGTCGTATGTGTGGAGGGACAGTAACTGTGTGTATATGTAAGCATTTAAACACTGCAGAGAGTAGAATTAACAGTAACAGTATTGTAGAAATTCATTTCACTGAAACAATAACGTGGCGCACAGTGTGACGCATGCACCAGTTTATTGTATTTCCAGACTTGCTTTCGGCACAATTTACAGTGCACGCTACTCTGTTTTTTGTCAGACTTGAAATAGCCGAAATACCTTCACACTACGGAACTTCTATGGCTCTTCCGTTCGACAATCTCTCCGGCATTGGAACATCATCTGTTTTCTCTTCGGTCACGCTCGGTTGATTTTTCTAGTCGGCACACTCATTTCCTCCATTACGCGCTGGCTCCATTACCCGCTGGCTGATTCCCAAACAAACACACGTGCGGCTTGGCACTTGTGCTGTACGTAACAAGTCACGCAACGTGACGCTGCAGCTGTGATTGGTTCGGCTCTGCGCTACTTAATTTGGATTGGCTGACCTTTTTTTTTTCTTTTTTTTTTTTAAAGAGGACAAGAGCGGCGAGGTCTATCGCGATAGCTTAATTTCTCTATCGAGTAAAAGTTATATCGCGATACATATCGTTATCGTTCTATCGCCCAGCTCTAAATCTAAGTAACTCAAACAAGTGGCTAGCACTCTAAGTGTCAAACATATGTCCTCTGCTTATCATCCTGAATCGCAAGGTGCATTAGAGCAGTGGCATCATACCTTAGAGGCGATGCTACGCAAATACTGGCTAAAGTCTGAAAAGAGCTGGGATAAGGGAGTTCCATTTGTGTTATTTGCTGCTCGTGACGCTTTTCGGGAGTCACTTGGTTTTAGTCCTTCTGAGCTGGTATTTGGCCATAGGCCACGCAAAGCTCTGAAAGAGGCATTTTTGAGCCTACATGGGGCGTCCAAAGTAAATGTAAGCAGGTATGTAAAACACTTCCGTGAGCGTTTGAACCAATCCAACGCTCTGGCTAAACAGCACCTTGCTGTTTCACAGGGGAAAATGAAACGCCATTATGAAAAGGCTTCTGTTAAAAGAACCTTTCAGGTGGGTGACCAGGTTATTGTGCTCTTGCCTGTTCCGGTCCCAGCCTTGTCTGCTAGGTATAGCGGCCCCTTTGAAGTCTGTGAAAAGAGAGGGGAGACTGATTATGTCATTTGCACTCCCGACTGCATACGCAAACACGCGTCTGCCACATAAACATGTTGAAATTATACCATCCTCGGTCGTCATCAGAGCCTGTTGGCATCTGTGCTCCTGTTGTAGCCTCAAGCCACCTAGAGGAAGGAGGGGTGGACGAGGTTGATGGTTTAAAGCTAAGTTATCCACATATTCTAGGCCCCGTCTGTCTAACTCAGAAATGCTGAAAGCATTACCGAGCTTGCTCGAGCATCTGTCTTCAGAGCAGCAAGAAGACATAACAGTCTTGATTATTGAATACACTGTTTATTCGGGGATGTGCCAACTCGCACTATAGTGCTAGAGTATGATATTGATGTCCAGGGAGCTAAACCTATTGAGCAGCATCCTTATCGAGCCAGCCCCATAAACGCTTGCTCATGAGACAGGAGGCTGACTATTTGCTGCAACATGGCTTAGCGAAGCCCAGTCAAAGCCCCTGGAGCTCACCCTGTATAGTGGAGTCTAAACCAGATGGCTCACCCAGTTTTATTACAGACTTCCGGAAAGGTGAACTCTGTGACTGTGGCTGACTCACATCCTCTCCAAGAATTGAGGATTGTGTGGACAGTATTGGGACTGCTCAGGATGTCACTGAGCAGTACAGTACACAGTCATGGCGTTTGGAATGTATAACGCTCCAGCCACCTTCCAGAGGCTGGTAAATAAAGTCCTCCGTGGCCTGTCCAACTGCAGTGCCTACCTAGATCTAGTAATTTATACTGAAACATGGCAGGATCATTTGGAAACTCTATGTCAGGTATTTCACCATTTGACTCAAGCTACACTAACTCTTAACTTAGTGTGTGTAAGTGTGAGTTTGCCAAAGCTACGGTGACGTACTTGGGCAGGGCGGTGGGACGTGGACATGTCCGGCCCATTGATGCCAAAGTAGCAGTGATTAAAGAGCTCCCACACCTAGCACCAGCATGGGTTGCGTAGGTTTCTAGGGATGGTGGGCTACTATAGAAACTTTTGTAAAAGATTTCTCCTCTGTGGTCAAGCCATTGACTGACCTACTCAAGTGAGTGTCAAGATGCCTCTGAGAGTGCGAAAGCCCTCCTCTGCCACACTCCTCTGTTAGATGCACCTGATTTGACGCGACCATTCAAACTTGAGGTTGATGCCAGTGCTGTCGGGGCTGGGCAGTGCTGTTGCAAGAAGACTTGCAGGGTTTGGACACCCCATTTGTTACTTTTCCCGCAAGTTTAATAAAAATCAGTTAAACTACTCCACCATTGAAAAGGAGACCCTGGCTTTGTTGTTGGCTCTTCAGCACTTTCACGTATACCTGGGGTCCAGCATGTTGCCTCTTGTGTACATTGACCACAACCCACTCGTGTTCCTTGCTCGCATGTTTAATCATAACCAGCGCCTTATGCGCTGGGCTCTGTTGTTGCAGGTATACAACTTAAGTATTCACCACAAAAAGGGGTCTGAAAATGTTTTGGCTGATGGTCTGTCCCTGTTGTAAACATGTTTTGCGGTGTTTGTTCTTTGTTTTTGTTACACTCCCTAACATCTGCTTTTGCCCAACATAGTTGGTATTTTAAGGGGAAGGGTGTTACGGCCCTGGCCTCATATAGCCCCACCTTCCTCTATGGAAATCCAAGCATTCCAGGACTCACAGGTGATTGGCTGGCCAGGGACCTATGCCCGCCCAACTTCATGCAGATCGGAGTGTGGCAGTCCACACCCA